GTTAAAAAATAGCTATTTTTAATTTCATTTAAATTTAATTTTTAATACATTTTTTTCTTTCTTACCTTTATTTCTTAAAATTTTTACTTTTTATTGTTTTAACAAACATCTTTTTTTAATTTCGTTTAGTTTTTAGAAAACTTATTGCTAAAAGATAAATAAAACAAAACGCTAAGACCTCCTCGTTAGCAGATCTTCCAATTAGTCGTTAGAAATACAGAAAAGAGCTTTTAAGATAGTTGCCGGAAGACTGTTTCTAAAAATTAAAGGAAGTTAAAAAAAAAAATTATTTTTTAAACACTAAAATATACAAATCAAAATATAAATAAATAAAGGAAAAGGAAGGATTTTCGTTCTCGTATCTCTCGAATGGCATGCCAGTGCTCTACTCACTCAGCCATTGCGACTGCTGAGGGAGTGAGCGAAAAATGATATTTGTACATAAATACTTATTTTTATATTTGATTTTTATTTATTTTTATTTATTTATTGACAGTCTTTAAGACATATAAAAAATCTTGTCAATTACATTATTAACTTATTTAATTGATTGCTCTTCTACTAATACTATACATTCACATTTTTCATATTTTCTTTACTAATTTTTACTTATTTTCAAATACATACCTTATTCTTTTATACACATTAATTTATTGTACAATTAATTAATTAATTATACGTACATTATAGCCTCGGGTTGGATAGCTGGCGAAGCCTAGTCTCCAGTCTATCTTTATGTACAGCAGGCGGAAAGGCCTAGTTTCCGCTCTGCGTCAATAAAGGCGTTTACCGTGGTCGGAAAGGCCGAGTTTCCGATCCATGTTCTTTTCATAATTATGTAGCTGTTAAATGGGCGGAAAGCTCTAGTTTCCGCTCCGTACTGCGAACGAGCTGTTGGGCATGGTCGGAAAGGCCGAGTTTCCGATCCATGCTGGTAACATGTCTCATATGCTAGTATCTTGTTAGAATGGGGAGGCCCAATGGCAATCTTATATGTGTTTTTTGCAATGCTCGTATAATAAACTTTTGAATTTTTGATTTCAAACTGAACTAAAAAAGTGAGTGATGCCACAAAAAAAAGGGCCGCAAATGTGGCCATACTTAAATTTTTCATTAACTAATGAGCCTTTATCTTTTAACTCCGTGAGGAAACATTAATTAACAGATATAACAATCGTTTGATAAATGCCCGTTAGAGCTAACTTAAAGAACGTTTCTGAGTGCGGTTGTCAGAGAACCAAAAATGTATGCCCAATTTAGAATATATATTATGATCCCAAAAGACAAGCGATCATAATATATATTCTAAATCTAACCCTAAATATGGGGTTTCACTTATAATTTACTTCAGCGGCACCTCGTAAATCCAAAATCATCATGGATGAGCTTTCGTTCAGGAAGGAGAAAGAGATCTTGATGGCACGGTTGCCACTTTGGTTGTGCGTGCGATTCAACGCTAAAAAAAAAAACGTAAATTTTTAAATTGAAGGCACAAAAATAAAGTATACATCAAGTTGTTTGAAATCCATTGAGGAAACATTAAATTATTGTGTGATTCATTTTTCTTAAATGGTTAAGGAGTTATTAGTAAAAAAATAAAATTTTTGAAAACTCAATGTTAGCGATACTTCTAGAGGGCGTGGTATTTGTCCGATTTAAATAAAAATTTCAAGACAGTATTTAAGAAGGTCAGACGCAATGTGTATGTATATCAAAATTGTTACGGATATATACAGATTGGTGAAGTGGTTTTCGAGATACAAATATTTAAGATAAGTGTGCGGGCCACGCCCAGTTTCCAAAAATTTTACGAAAAACTAATTTTCGCTTAAGATCCATTGAAGATATCATTTTGAGTATATATTTAAAAATTCGTTAACCGTACTGCCCAAAGATCTGAAAATCCTTTACATACACACACATATATATTCATGGCCGTATTTTAGACACAAATTTTAGATAAATAAAACAGTTGTGTGGCAACCGTATACCCTAGTATATAAAAAATCGAATGCAACTTAATATATTTTACATTTATATGTAGGAACACTTGGCGAATTGGAGGAAATTTGTTCAACACCTAAACGCATATCTTGTGAGCAATTATATAAAGAGGCCATACAGTCTGCACGCAGATACTATCGTAACCATCATGTCTATCCTTACACTTACCAGGTTCGTAGTGAGACATTTCTTATATTATACCAAATTTTAAATTAGATAATTTAAATTTAAGGGAAATTTTTATAATCGGCTGTTGAAGTATCGTGAAGCTTTTGCCGCGTGGGCCAATGCAGCAGATGTAATACGTATATATACGTATAGTTGCCGTGACGATGAGGAAATCTATAAAGAGCTTTTGGACATTGCCAATGAGATGATACCGCACGTAATGAAGACGGAGAGTTCGGGCCATTCGGGAAGAAGTATTTTGCGCGATTCCGAAGCTTTTGCTAATCTATTGCGTTTTTATGATGGCATTTGCCAATGGGAAGAAGACAGCTTAACACCAATATTGCATATTGGTTGGGCTAAGCCATTAGTAAATAATATAACGAAATTCGACTATGATATTAGATCACAAGTTGTGATTAACGTCCCTATAGAGGATGAAATTACACAAGCAAAAAAACAATTGTTCCCATCACTAACCGAAACAACCTCACTAAAAGTTTTAGAAAATATAGTGAGAGAAGTTCAACCGCATGTTGAAGTTTCCATAACTGAAACCAAAAGCGATCAAGATGGTACTTATAGTATGAATAATAATATCCTTAAAACAGAGGAGGTGAATATGACCCATGCACATATTTTGAAAATCTCGTTTATGTCTTCCTTCTGGTATGTATTTCAGAAAGCTCTGTTGGATGCGAAAAAATCGGATATTACGACTACGCTTGCGGATTTAACTGCTGCGTGTGGTGAGAAGATTTTAAACCCTGTTTTTTTATTACAGGGTGGAGGAGAGCCTTTCGCTGAACAGAAAAAACAGTTGGAACAAGGGCAGAGTAATCGCAATAATAATGCTGAAAACGGTTTGAAAATTATCGCAAATAATGAAAATGATTCAAGCGTGAAGGCCGAAAAATCGGAAAACAACACAAAGAAGTTGCAAGAAAGTGAAAGCATTGTCTCTTCTTCCCTTCCATCTTCGCCTCCACCCGTTGACATTTTTGAGTTCATGATTAAACGACCCATTATTACGCTTTATAGTCAAAAAATGAAGGGTCTTAAGGATCTTCTACTGGCGGAAAAACTAAACACTCATGCTATTTCGTTACAAGTAACCGCTCAATCTGTTGCCAGTAAGAAGGTACGAGGAATCGATAAACTTGGAAATCATACAACAACTTCAACCTATGCAACTGCACATGTACCAAACAATGTTCCACAACCTGCAAACTTAGCTGAAGGTAATACCCATACAAATGATAATGGAGGCCCATCTTCGTCTATCGCGGCTGCACGTCCGAAGCGTTCTCGTCGCGAGTAAGTAACGCGACTAAGGTAAGCTAAATTAGAAATATATGTACATATCGCACGTTTAGTAATATACCGAATTATTTCAAAATTTAAATTTTGTGGGTAAACGCAAAGTTGGTATACCAAAAGACAGATGGAAATACACATACATATCTTCGCCATTTTTGGGAAGTTTAGTCACCAAAAACGTAAATTTTGATTTACATCTCTATGTTATTAAACGTGCGATATGTTCGTATGACCGTCTTTTAAAAAAATGCTGTTTTTCCGAGAGTATAGACCCAAACCTTTTACGAATCGGTTTGAAAAGAGAAAAGTTATAGCAGTTTTAGTAAATGATATTGATCATTCAACGTATCGATTCCGTACAGCACATTAAATCAAAAAATCAATTAAAAATATAATTTCCATTGACATGAATATTTAGATTAGGCTGGGTCGATTTTTTATGGGGGAAAATAAAAGACTTTTTACGATATTGTAATAGTAATATTATGTTGTCTTAGGTCTAAGCCAATTGTTATTGGCCACGAAAGATTAATTTTAAACTTATCTTTAGCCCGTGTAATTGATTCTAAATGAATTTTCCCTCATGAATTTTCAATTATTCATTACTTCAGCAACCAAGTGAATAATGTAAAAAAGTGAGACGAAATTTATTTCAAAAATTTGTATGTTTTCGGATGTTTATATAATATTAAGAGGGCCATGGACTTTTGTCACGCCGATTTGGCCAGTTTTCAAAATCGTGGGGAATGAAGTCAAACATGTATTGTCCAAGATTAGGAATCGTTTCATAACTTAACAGTAGTTTCAAGCATTAACAAAATACAATTGGGGTGCAGTCTTATGCAGACTTGAAAATTGGAGCGGAATGGTTTCATTAGTCACCGAAGAAGCACATTTTTCGCGGTTTCTAAATTTGCCTTTATATGAAAGTAGGAGACGTGCAATAAGTGTTTAGATATAAGTATTTTAGTTAATTCCGTTATGTTAATACATATCCTGGGAAATCCTTTTGAGGACTATCCAATTGGACGATATTGCTTTGCATTCAGCTTGAACGAAAAAAGTCACTACCTGGCACACTTTTCTGTAATCCGGTTCTTTTATTTAAAAGTTATTTATACAATTTAAGAGAAATTTTTGTAGAAAATAACTAGAAATCCACCTAAGTTTTTCGATATAACTTTCGTAAATATTACTCGATCGGTACGTAATAATTACCAAATTGAAGGCGTGACTTACTGTTACTGATTTATGATAATAATATGATGAAAATCGATCAGATTATAAAAAAAATGTTTAAGAATAAAAAAATGGTGAACAAAAATTTCTGTCAACTTTCTATATTTGCAACTTTTTTATTGTATGCATAAACATAAGTAAACTAATTAGTGTTTCTAGAAGTTGTGCCCGTTCAGCCCGTCCATACTCATTACCACAAACAAAATATTTCCACGGTGATGGAAAATAATTGCTTTTCTATTAGAGCTATCGAAATCGTTCCTACATTTGCAAAATTTCGCAAACTACAGCTAATATAAAAAAAAGATTAGAATATTTGGAACCACGACCTAAATGCACCCCAGCAATATTAATGCTGTTTTTTATATCTTTTGATTATAGGTCAGTGCAATTATCAAGAGAACAATTAAAATTTTATTGAAAAAGGATAAGTTTGAGATTAACGATATGCTAAAGGGCTGCGATAAATGATATTTGACTTGATCTTTTGCATTAACTGATTCATTATCTAATAATATGCACCAAACCTGTTTGCTGAACCCACAATTTTAAACAGGAATTGGTATTATTCGACTGGTGTGCTGTGTGTCACTTGGCGGTCGATGCGCGGGCTCTTGTAATTAAAATAAAGGACTAAGATTTTGCAGGATTGTTGTTAGCTTCATGATGCAATATATTTTCACTATTACCAAGGGATTTGAGAAAAACTATATTTTCGACCCGCCCTAATGCACATCGCAATTGGACAGCTGACAATAGTTTCTTTTTCGCAATAGTTTGCTACAATCGTTACGAATTATCATGCGTAAGAGGTTTCATACGCAAAACCTGGCAGAAAATCGGTAAAAAGGGAAAATTGTGAGAGCAAAATAACAGCTGATTTTTACGTGAAGTTCAAAATTTTTACAGGATCAATTTTTACTTGTACTAATTTGCCAAGTAAGTGAATACATTTTTGGAACTGTCAATTTAAAATACAAAAAAAAATATTAGTTTGTTCAACAACATTTCCAGTAAGTACCAGCAGCGAGAGTTTAAACACAAAATTGAGAGTAAAATTTAGAGAATAAAAAAATAATCAGAAATAGTTATTGAACGAAAACCAGTAAAAACTTGAAACTTATGTCATTGACATTTTTCGAAGGCTAAGTTTTGGCCATTGTGGAAGAATACAAGTCAGATATCTTAGGGTTGACAGATAGTTGACAGGGTATTCAATATGGCGATGGCAGTGTGAACAATATGGCAGCCATATGGCAATCAACACCGAATGGCGCGAAGTTGCAAAACTACGACCCGAATGAAACGCTTCGTGAAATCCAGAGTTGCGAAGTGGTATTTTGATGGAAAATATCACAGCCAGGATTTTGTGCAGCGCCGAATTTTAACAAAAGAGGGTTTTATGTGCTCAAGATGAACAGAAGAGGGTTGCTGTGCTGTTTCGTTTTAAGCTTATTTTAATCTTAACTTATCTAATTAAATATTAAAAAAAGACAAAAATTAAAGCAAACATTTTAAAATATATGTACATTAGACTGCATCACTCCCCATACAAAAAAAAGTCGGCACTGTTTTTCCATTGGAATTATAAAAACTATGGCCCTTATTATGAGTTGAATTCGATTTTCGATCTTCGCTGGTTATCGAAGATCGAAAGGGAAATTCGTATTATGAGCAATGCAACCGTGTCGAAATTTTCGTTGAGTATCGAATTTTCTGTCGAACAGAATTTTGCTTTCGATGGGGTAGCGAAGTGTTAGATTTTGCATTTGTTTTCTTACTTTTTGGCGGGTAGACACTAATTTTAAACAATTTCATGCAGTTTTAACGTCGTGAATACAAAACAAAAGCTCGAAAGGCTGCTTTACTTGTGAAGGAAAATCCCAATACTCAGTTGGCACGATCTCTGAGAACAAATCATAGAGCTGTGGATAGCTTTAAAATATTTTAAATAGATTTGGCTCACAAAAGCCTCTTTAGATAGTCGGAAGTTTTTAGTAAATCTGTAGACAAATTTTTAAATATATTTTATGTCAAAATATATTGTAAAGACTACACCTAAACTCTCTTAAATATTTACTACTCCTGGTCAGTTCACTAAACTCTCATCCTCTGACGAATCGTTGAACCCCAGAACTTCGTTGTTCTATTTTTTACCACGTTTTTATAAACTTGCTTTCTTTTTTATTTCATTTTAATTTGCACAAATTTACATAAATATGTATAAGCACACTATTTAGTTTGCCCGATTTGTAAACAAAGCTTCTCAGCGGTGAAAAATATGCTATTGTGAACAACATAAACGAGCGAAGTTCACAATAGCGCTATTCTTCATCGAATGAGCGCCATAATACCAAATCAAAATTCGTTCGATCAGCATTTTCGACCACAATCGAAGATCGAATGTAACTCATAATAGGGGCCTATTATATTTTAAGACGTCCACCAAAACATTTCGGAAAAATATTAAGATTACGTGAGCTGGACCGATTTGAAAATACCTCCAAAAATGGTGTTTTTTCTTGAAGATGTTTTTGAAAAAATTCCCTCAGATAACAAAACGGTTTAAGCTTAAAAAATTTGCACAAAAATATAAAAAAAATTAAAAAAAAAATTGAACGGAATCGTAATAATGAGATTTTTGATGCTGTTTTTAGCTTTTTTCAAAGTTTGGTATAAGAAAAACTTGAATAACTGAACTTAAACTCTCCCGATTTAGAGTTGTGAGGTATCATTG